CCTAAGTCGAATTGCTTCGGAAATATTTCAGTGGGCTGCCGGTTCCACGAAAGCTGCTTTAAAAACGCTCAGTTGGAACCGCGGACGTCAAGGTGATACACAAATTCTAGAGTAATGGGTATACCTTTTTCCAAGCAATTCGGCGTCGGGACGTGACGACCCCATCGCCCACTGGTGAAATAACCTGTGACAGAGGTTATTTCATCAGCGCAATCAGTCAACCCCTTCCTAGTGGGAGTGCGAAGCCGGCCTTGCTCTTTCTTATCGAGACTCAGATATCCTCCCCGGCTGATACTTCCCACCTATCCTACCCGGGGTACAAATTGGAACATTCATTTGTGCCGCGGGCTGGAGTTTGCGTGTACGTCAGAGAGGATATCTGTTCTCGTCGCCTCGGGACGCTTGAAGGAAGGGACCTATCTAACCTCTGGCTGCGCGTAGACTGCGATGACCATCCGCGATTCTACGCATGCCTGTATAGGTCCCATAGCGGAAATACCGAAACTGACCGACTCATTGAGCACATCCAAATGGCTGCAGATTCCCTGCTCGAAAGGGTTGCTACCGCTGAAATCGTGATACTTGGCGATTTTAACGCCCACCATGCCGATTGGCTCGGCTCTGAAACCACCGATCACGCGGGAAGATCCTTTCACGACTTTGCTTTAGCCTACGACCTGACACAAATGGTCCCTGCGATTACGCGAATACCAGATGTGGATGGTCATAAACCCTCTTTGTTGGACCTTCTGCTGACTTCACATCCGGAGAACTATAAAGTCTCTGTTGACCCGCCATTGGGTTCATCAGATCATTGTGTGGTCCGGAGTACTGTGCCATCTACGCGCCCTTCACGGCCCCGCTTTATGGGTTGTCGCCGTATTTGGCACTATAAGTCAGCAGATTGGGACGGGATGCGGTCTTTCTTTGCGTCCTACCCTTGGGGGCCTATGTGCTTTTCGCCGGAAGCTCCAGATTCCGTCGCCGCCTCTGTCACCGAAGTGGTTCTGCAGGGCATGGAACTCTTTATTCCATTTTCTGCGGTGCCGATCGGTGGCAAGTCTCAGCCCTGGTTTAAACGTTCTTGCAAGGCGGCCTCGCGTCGAAAGCGAGAATGCTTTAAGGCATGGGCGGAAGCGGCGAAATCTCGTGATGCCAATACCAGCGAACTTAAAAAAGCATATAACTCAGCCTCCAGGTCCTTCAAACGGGAAATCACTAAGGCAAAGTCAGAGCACATTGCCAGATTTGGCGAGAGATTGGCCCAACTCCCTTCAGGGACTCGATCCTTCTGGTCTCTCGCCAAAGCTGTCCAAGGGAATTTTTGTCAGCCCGCCATTCCGCCACTGCACAGGGAGGATGACTCTCTGGCCCACACTGCGAAGGAGAAGGCTGACCTTTTGGGCTGTCTCTTCGCGTCCAACTCGACTTTGGATGACCGAGGGAGATCACCACCGACCATTTCGCGGTGTGATTCTTCGATGCCGGAAATCACATTCCGGCAACGTGCTGTCCGCAAAGCACTATCTTCCTTGGACATTCATAAGTCGAGCGGGCCGGATGGTATCCCCCCAATTGTGCTGCGTACTTGTGCTCCTGAGTTGGCTCCGGTCTTAACGCGCCTTTTCCGGTACATGTACTCGCTCGGCACTGTCCCGAAGTGCTGGAAGACCGCTTTGATACATCCGATCCCTAAAAAAGGCGATCGCTCTGATCCGTCCAACTATCGCCCAATAGCTATAACCTCCTTGTTCTCCAAAATAATGGAATCCATTGTTAATTGCCAGCTCTTGAGGTATCTAGAGGGCCACCAGCTGATTAGCGATTATCAGTACGGCTTTCGTCGTGGTCGTTCGGCTGGTGACCTTCTTGTATACCTTACACATAGATGGGCAGAGGCAATTGAGTCCAAGGGGGAGGCGCTAGCGGTTAGTTTGGACATAGCGAAAGCCTTCGATCGGGTGTGGCACAGAGCACTGCTCTCGAAGCTTTCAGCCTATGGGCTTCCCGAGAAATTACGCGATTGGATCTCCAGCTTTCTGGCCGATCGGAGCATCAAGGTCGTCATCGACGGAGCATGTTCCGACCTAAAACCCGTAAACGCTGGGGTCCCACAAGGCTGTGTTCTATCCCCGACCCTATTTCTTCTGCATATCAATGATATGTTGAAACTTAGCAACATTCATTGCTATGCAGATGACAGCACTGGGGATACTTTTTACACTGGCCGGGCAGGTATTTCTCGGGCAGTTGTTGATGAGTACCGGAACAAACTTGTATCTGAAGTCGAAACTCTACTACGTGGAGTCTCAGATTGGGGCAGACAAAACCTAGTCCAATTTAACCCCAAGAAGACACAAGTTTGCGCGTTTTCCGCTAAAAAAACACCCTTTGTCGCTACTCCTCTTTTCGAAAACACTCTTCTAAAAGCCACAGCCAGCATTGGAATACTTGGCGTTGACATATCGAGCGACGTTCAGTTTCGCGGTCACTTGGAGGGTAAGGCTAAATTAGCCTCCAAAAAGCTTGGTGTGCTCAGCAAGGCGAGACGGTACTTCACTCCGGGCCACCGCACGCAACTATATAAAGCGCAAATTCGGCCCCACATGGAGTACTGCTCTCACCTCTGGGCGGGGGCTCCCCAGTACCAGCTCCTTCAACTTGACCGTATACAACGCAGAGCGGTTCGAATCGTCGACGACCAATCCCTCTCCGAGCGGCTTGATCCTTTGGCGTTGCGTAGAGATGTGGGGTCACTCTGCATCTTCTACCGCATTTACCATGGAGAGTGTTCAGAGGAGTTGTTCGGATTAATACCTGCAGCTGAGTTTCATCATCGGACGTCGAGGCAGAATACGAAATTCCACCCGTATCACCTCGACGTCCGCCGTTCCACAACTGAGCGTTTTTCAAGGCAGTTTTTGCCGCGCACCACCACTATGTGGAACCAGCTGCCCACTGAAGTATTCCCGAACCAATTCGACTTAGGGTCCTTCAAGAAAAGAGCGTACCAATTCTTTAAAGGCCGGCAACGCACTCGCGAGCCCTCTGGCATTGAGGGTGTCCATGGGCGGCGGTATCACTTAACATCAGGTGAGCCTCCTGCCCGTTTGCCCCCGTTCTATAAAAAAAAAAAAAAAAATTGCGCGAACATGCTCTGGACTTTGGAGTGATGGTGTTTCCACCTCAGTCAGTATTGTTGCGGCGTCATCTTGCTTCTTGGAATGTGGTTCGGTGGATCTGAAAACATTTAATTGTCTTAAAGTGTTATCTTTAATATCTCAATAGATTTTTGAAGTGAAACTTTTTAGGCTTATGAGGGTAAAATTCTTACGGCTGGACGCAATAATATTAATATGAAATATCGTTTAACTTTATTATAAAAATTAAACACTAAAAGTCTGAAAAATATTTGTAACACCTTTACATGGTTATTTTACGCCTAGTGCGCTGAATTCCACTCGTGTGGAAATTATTACGTTAAAACCTTTTTACAACGCACTTGGCGTATAATGCGGAAGGACCTGTGATCGAAAATGTGATGTGCCTATATGACACAAAAAATTATTAAGTTAGAATATAAAAATCATTATTTTTGTCTGTTACAGTTTGTTAAGACAACGTGAAACGGGGCTGTGATAATTCAAATGTTCGTGGTGTTATAGCTATTTTTATGTATATTAATTTTATACAATAAATTATTTACTAAAACGTTTTTTTAATAATGCAACCTTGTCTTAATATAAGCTTATTTTGGTTACATATGAAGGTGATGGAGAAGTCATGAAGCCTGAGCCTGAGCCTGTAACCTACATACCACCAGACCCCACAGAGAATGTAGACGAAATGTTCGGCAATTGGATTAGTTCAGGAATAAATTTTGACAAATTCGATCATATTGCTGTAAAGGTACCTATGTTCAATTTTTGAAAAACGTAACAGTCACATTTTGAAAATTCCACCCAATATCATCAGTATGCAATTTTTTATACAACATATTTCCCATAGTCTAATTTTCATTAAAAAAAAATACTAATTTACTCGCTAAAATATCAATAATATTAAATATACATTATGTAGCTTTTATTATCAATAAAATATATATTATAATATTTGTTCTGATAAAAACATAGTCATAGTATCAATTATTGAAACATTATTTTCTTTTAATATCTTTTTATTCAACAGGTTACCGGCGTGAATCCGCCTCAACCAATCGATAGCTTCGAAAGAGCTAACCTTAGGAAATTGGTTGTGGAAAATGTGTTAAAATCTGGATATAAAAAGCCCACGCCGATTCAGAAACACGCCATACCAATCATTATGAATGGCCGGGACCTGATGGGATGCGCACAAACGGGATCAGGGAAGACTGTAAGTAAAATTTTAAACTATTATTTTGTGTATCTTTGTTATACGCCAGTACTACATTTTCAATTAAAACTTTTTTAAAATAAATACGTTTTTTAACATTATCATTGTTAACAGTACATTTGATATTATGAGTAGTCTATTGGAAAGTTGTCACAGCGCCATCTATTGCCGTCAACTTTTCAATAAACTTTTTGCAAAAATTACTGATTGTGCCCCCTTGTAATGTCTTATCTGGTGTTAAATTTAATTTAAACTGTATTTTTAATAAAACGCGAGTTAAGTTCGGTGGCAGTTGTTGTATGTTCAGATATATGTTAAATGAAACACTTTGTTGGAAGCTGGGTAATCTAATATATAAAATCTAATATATAAAATTCTCGTGTCACAGTTTTCGTTGCCATACTCCTCCGAAACGGCTTGACCGATTCTCATGAAATTTTGTGTGCATATTGGGTATGTAAAAAATTGCGGGTAGTTGTCGTTCAAGTCACACGTATTTAAATTGCTCTCTATTTATTTTTGAAATTTAAGTGTATATGTGAAGTTTCTGATGTGTGTTTGAGTACCTGATATCCTCTGGCTCTTTTTCTCCTTTAAAGTGCAAGTTTTCACTTTTTTTTGACACCATGGAAGCAGTTCAGAAGACCATTGAAGATCTTGCGGTCGTCCTTAAAAACGGCATGGCGGAATTCCGTAAGGATCTGCAGGATGCTACTGCTCTTTCCACCACAGCCAACCCAACTTCACGACTAGTTGTGGAGTTTGAAAGTTTTCGTAGCTTTATGTTGTGTTCCCTTCAGAATCTACAGTCTCAGGTCGAGCTATTGTCTAAGTGTCATGACCAAGAAGAGATGCGCAGCCGCAGGAAGATGTTGTTGGTTCACGGGGTTGCTGAGGATAACAAGGAAGATACCTCTGCTGTATTCGCAAAAGTGATCACCGAACATCTTAGTGTCACTGTTGAGGATCTTCAAATAAGTCGTTGCCATCGTTTGGGTCAGGCTAAGAAAGATACTCCTAGGCCTATATTGGTGAAACTCCGGGATGTTCACTTGAGAGATAGCATATGGTACAGTAAAACTCAACTGAAGGGTACAGGTATAACTATATCAGAATTCCTTAATAAAGTCAGGCATGACACCTTTATGGAGGCAAGAAAGTTATTTGGTATCTCTAAGTGCTGGACAAGGAATGGCACCATTCACATTATTGCTCCTGATGGCACCCGGTACCAAGTGAATTCTATGGCTGAGTTGAAAGCTATTCCTCTTCCCTCTTCTGCAGCAACTGTTAAACAACCTAGTAATATGACTGTCTCTAGGGACAACAAACGTCCCAAAAGGTTAATCAAAAGGCCAATAGTTTAAGTTGCCATTTCAAATCCCTCTTATATAATTTATGTTTTTCAGATGCTTGTTTGATCCTAATTTTGAACTTTATATTAACTTTTTGTACCACTATATTGTCTTAATTTGATTAATTGCTGTATTGTTGTAATTGTAACAGTTAACTTGGTAATTTCTCTTGTATTGAATATGCTAGGTGTCCAATGTATAAAACATCTAGCTGTTTGCACCATCAATTGGCCATATTTTGTCATAACTTTAAACTTTTCCCTTTTTTTTTATCATTCTCACTGTTTATTATTTGTGTATATAGCATATTTAAACTTAAGTTGGGTCATATGAAGTTAACTTTGGCTAATTGCTAATTGGTTGCTTATGCTTAGTGTTTTGTGGACTGTTGATTGTTATTGTTAGTGAACTCTTAGTTTTAAAATGTTTAAGTTTTTGCTGTTTGTAGCGCGTATGGCTGTCGTATGTCAAAATCCCTAATTGACATCTGATTTTTTGACGCTTGACGGTCGCACGTATTTGGTTAAGTAGATTCATGGACATTGATAACTTTTTTTATAAAAGTTATTAACATCATAATTTCTTATTATAATAGTTAACCGCTGTATTGTTGCATGGTTTCTCCTTTTGCTGTAATTATATGTTTTTTTTTTAAAGAAGATGCCAGTTGGTACTGTGTATTTAATCTGTGAAGAAACTTTTATTCGCAGTTGTTAGCGTAGTAGTTTAGCTTTATCTGTGTTATTTTCATATTTTTATTTTTATTTCCTTTACTCGTTTTTTATTTATTATTATTATTATATATTTTTTGTAACTTTTAGATTAGCTTTATCGTCATTGTTATTAAGTGTTTTCACTCATAATGGCTGTCAGTGAAGATAGCTTTCAGTCGCCTTCAGCGTCAGCTATATTAGGTAGTTCTAGTTATGAGGCTAGCTTACTTGATAGACCTTGATAGACCTCCTTTTCCCCTTTGAATGTGCATCTGTCTAATTCCTTTGTAGGCCTAACTAAAAATTTCAATGTCGTCCACATCAATGCTCAAAGCGTTCCGGCGCATTATTCCGATCTGTTTTCATCTTTTCAATACTCTAATATTCACGCCATTCTTATTTCTGAGACTTGGCTTAAACCTAGTCTTCCTTCTACTTTCTTTCCCATTCCTGGCTTTCATCTCCTACGGAACGACCGTCTGGGCAGAGTTGGGGGGTGGTGTTGCTATTTATTTACGTGCCCATATTCCTTATACTATTCTTAGCAGCTCACCGCAACCCCCTCCAAATGATGCAGTTGAGCATTTGTTACTGGAAATCTCCTTTTCGCATTCTAAATTACTCCTTGGTGTGTTTTATAGTCCCTCTTCGAATGTAGACTATTTTTCCGCCCTTGGTCTGCTTTTAGATAATTTTGTTAATAACTATAATCATACCATTTTAATGGGTGATCTAAACACTTGCTTGTTGAAAAATGACCATCGCTCGCGCAAATTAACATCTACCATCGAATCTTATAATTTAAATATCTTACCTTTGAATGCCACTCATCACTTTCCAGATTCCTCCCCTTCGCTGCTGGATCTCATTTTCGTTTCTAACCCTATCCTGGTGCATAAGCATGGCCAAATCCCTGCTGATGCCTTTTCTTACCATGATCTTATCTTCCTTTCCTATAAATTGCGTCCACCTAAAGTAAAACCTCAAATTCTTATGCTACGACGCAATTTTAGAGGCATTGATGTAGAAAGTTTATCTGCCGATGCTGCTGAGTTGGACTGGAACTCGGTGTATAGTGAGAGAGATATTCATAGGAAAGTTGGGCTTTTTAATTCATTGCTAACGCAACTGTATGATGTTCATGCTCCAACAAGGCCAGTAAAAGTGAAACATTTACCTTCTCCATGGTTAACTGATGAAATCAAATTAATCATAGAAACTAAAAATCGTGCTAAAGCTAAGCTGAGATTGTGTGATTCTCCTTTGGCGCGTGAGAAATACAAAAAAGTGCGGAATCGATGTAATACTTTGTGCCGCGACGCTCAGCGGCGTCATATTCATAAGTCAGTTGAAGGCGGCGACCCTTTCAAAGTATGGAAATTCCTTAAATCGCTTGGAATTGGGAAACAACAGAAACAGCCACTTTCTGCTGATTTGAATATTGACCTGCTTAATCAACATTTTTCCTGTCATCCTACTTTTGATCAAAGTATTAAATCTGAAACCATTGCATCTCTTGACTTTTATCCTACTACGAATATTCCTTCTTTTTCGTTTCAGTCGATTGCGGAAGACGAAGTAGGGAGGAGCATCATGTCTGTCTCGTCCAAAGCCATTGGTTATGATTGTATTGGTCGGGATATGATCCTTCCTATTGTTGACATATTAATTCCGGTACTAGCACACATTTTCAATACTTCCGTTTCCTCTGGTGTTTTTCCTAATATCTGGAAATATGCCAATGTTATTCCTACTCCTAAAATCGCTAACCCAGTTGCCTATTCTGATTTCCGACCTATTTCCATCCTTCCTTTCCTTTCCAAGGTTCTTGAACGTATTCTTCATCAGCAATTAGCTATCTTCCTCAACGAACACTCCCTTCTTAATTCAGTTCAATCCGGTTTTCGTCCTGGACACAGTACAGCAACTGCACTCACTAAGATTACAGATGACATTAGGGGTGGCATGGATAATAAAAAACTCACAATACTTACCTTGCTTGACTTTAGTAATGCCTTTAATTCGGTAGACATTGATGTGCTTCTTGCTTTGCTCTGTTCTTTTAATATGTCCCCTACAGTGATTAATTTTTTTAAAAGCTATCTAACCGAACGTCAGCAACGAATTAAATTAACCGACAGCTTTTCCTCTTGGTCTCATGTTTCTGCTGGCGTACCGCAGGGTGGGATCCTTTCTCCTCTTCTCTTTTCGCTTTTTATAAATTCTATTACTAATCAACTTTCTTCCAACTCTCATCTTTATGCTGATGACCTTCAAATTTACAACCAGTCTACCTTCAATGATTTGCCGTCTGCAATTCAGAAGACAAACTTAGACTTAGACAAGGTTGTTCAATGGAGTAAGTCGTATGGTCTTAAGATAAACCCTTACAAGAGCCAGGCCATTATCATCGGGAGTGCATCATATATAATGAGAATAAATTGGTCAACTTTACCCCAGCTTACTATAGATGGTACTGTTGTTCCGTTTTGCTCCACTGTTAGAAACCTGGGCATTACTTTGGATACAACCCTGTCTTGGCAGCCCCAAATTAATGAACTTAGCAGGAGGATTTTTCTTCTTCTCACGCACTTAATAGGTTACGCAATTTCTTGCCTATCTCAACTAAAATTTATCTTGCTCATTCTCTTTTACTCTCTATTCTTGATTACGCTGATGTGTGTTATCCTGATTTAACTGAGTTGCAGCTTGATAAGTTAGAACGCTTACAAAATGTTTGCATCAGGTTCATATTTGGTCTTCGTAAATTTGACCATATTTCGGAGTTCCGAAGAAAGCTAAATTGGCTACCCATTCGATTGCGGCGTAAGATGCACATTCTACAACTTCTTTTTAATGTTCTTTTTAATCCTAAAACTCCTAGTTACTTAAAGCAAAATTTTATGTTTCTCTCTGGCGGTAGTTTTGACTTGCGTTCTCTGGACAACCTTATTCTTGAAACTCCTATTCATAAAACTGAATTCTATCACTCCTCCTTTACTGTGCAAAGTATTCTGCTATGGAATTCTCTTCCAATTGACATTAGACGGGCTCAGTCCTTAAATTTATTCAAAAGCTTCTTCTTGATCATTTTCTTTCTGCCTCGTAATTAGCTGCCTCTGCTTATATATTAATTATTGTTGACTCTGATAACCTTTTGATTATATTTTAAATTTTTGTCTATACATACTTTTATTTATGATTATTGTTATTTTCCTTTAGACTTTACTTTTTTAGATATATAGTAACGGGTTATTTTGAGTTTTTTTTTTTTGTTAATAATTTTTGTAATTCTTGTACTCTCTACCCTCTGTCGGTGTTTCTTTTTCATTATTCCACATTAGGGTTGCCTGGAAGAAATCGCTTGTTAGCGATAAGGCCGCCCGTTGCCTTATAACTTTTTGTAACATGTTTTTTTTGTACTTTTGTTATGTGTATGTTAATAAGGTATTAAAGCATAAATAAATAAATAAATATGTCTGAGAATCGGACAACATCTATTTTTCATCGCCCTAAATTTATATTTTTTAGACAAAAATTTGTTTTATTTTTTTATGATACAGCATACTACAATACATACAACCCCTCTAAGATCAACCCCTATTTTTTATTATACTAGATAGTTATTTTATTGAACATGTTGCCTAGAAATATTATACATGACAAAACAACGTTTGACGGGTCAGCTAGTAGTATATAACTAACTGCCTTTAATTGTTTAAAACATGAGCTTATAACTAAGATAACATTAGGGGTAGTGGGGTTGCGACGCCGGATTAACAAAAAACTAACTTGACTTAATATTCAAGAGTTCGTAAATCTAAGTGACACTAATGCAAATACTTCAGTGGGCAGTTAAGGCAGGGCAAAAACTGCCTTTAAAACACTCCGTTGTGGAACCATGGACGTTGAGGTGATATGGGTGGAATTTCGAATGCTGTCTCGACGTCCGATTATAGAAAAAAATTAATTAACTTACCAAAGTCCATAAGTCGTCTTGCAATATCTCCCGGATCGAGGTATTTTTATGCGACCGATTTTCGAAGCAATAAAGTAGACAATTAGTATAACGATATATGAAATGCTGTATTCGGATTCTGATCCGACGTTATTTGTACCGGGCAGAGGCGACCTCGTCGTAGACGACTCGCAGTGTGGTTCCGTTACCCTGGTTTATTTATGACAAATATTAAACCATGAAAGTTACGAAAAACTGCCCCATGGTTGGTTATACATTTCATACACATATATTTATGTTATACCAATGTTTTAGGTTCGTTCGTTGCGGGTAGGCGCAAGTTGAATATCGAGTCCTCACAAAATAACCAATTAAAAATAGAAATAAGTGAGAATACACAATAAAAAGTAAATATCAAACTGAACCAGGAGAAGATATACCACAGGCAAACGTATCTGCCTCATTATTAGTGTAAAAAATAGAACATTTTCACGTTTTAATTTGTGTTATTGCAACGGTGACTTTTCGTTTTGACTAAAACAATTAAAAGTGCGTGTACAAATCTAGTGCAAGTGACTTGGAACAAGGATCAGTCAATTTTTGTTGATATTACTACAAAAAGAAGAAAAAACTACGACTTTGTAACAGTGATGTTAAACGGGTATACGTGACTTGCAGCGACCTAATATTACATTAGTCACTCCTTGTAAACGTCACTCAAGAAAGAAACTGTTCAAGTAATTCGTCTTCTTCGTCATACAGTATCTCGGCGTCGCAGATAAGCTGTGTTCCTGAATCGAACATTTGTATCGGCCCGAGTTCAAACCTAGACACGGAATATTGACACTTCAATTAATTTCGAATTTTTGTTTTTATAATTTTACTTGAAGATATCTAATCTATTTCTAACGGATAGAATATAAAAGGAAAAATAATTCTGTAATAAAAAAAAAAAAAAATTAGAAACAACATTTCAAAGTATGGACAAAAAGAAATGGAATACCTTATAGAATCGATACACCAAAAACTGTGCGAAAAGTTGGAAGATCAGACGAGAATTATAACAGAAAGTGTAACAAAGTCCGTCGTAAGCAGTATAAATGTGAAGTTAGCAGAATTAACTGAAGAAAACAAGAAACTTAAATCGGAGATCGTCGTTCTAAAAGACAAAGTAAAATTCCTTGAAGATGGGAAAAGGAAAAATAATTTAGTATTTTTTGGCATACATGAAAACCAACAAGAAGAACCTAACCTGCTTACACACATACTGAAGTTGATAAATAATTCAACTGGTTTATCCTTGGACCCTAAAGAGCTAAGCTCAGCTTATAGACTGGGCAAAAAGAGTGAAAATCCTCGCCCAGTTCTCGTTAACTTCACTAGCCTTTGGAGAAAATACGAGGTACTAAAAATGGAAACAAACTCCCATCTAACATGTATGTAAAAGAAGATTTTTCCAAAGAAGTATTAGAAAAAAGAAAACTATTACAAACCGAACTAAAAGCTGAACGTGCTAAAGGGAAAACTTGCCACATTAAAAAGATAAGCTCGTTATATACGAGAATACGCGTGAGAAATCTGAAAAAAAGAAAGAGAAACTTCTCAGAATCTCCGAAACAATATCAACCCCAATCAACAAGTAAAAAAATAAACTTACTTGATTACTACGAAGCGCATGGCTCGAATTCAACGCCGAAACAGCAAAAAAAACTAGTATGCGCCACTGACCGCTCGAACCAACATAATTCTTTCAAACACAACAACAAAAGACAAAACGCACTAACCACCCCAAGCTAGCTGGTCACCGTGGGGGTTGTCGACCACTCCCTTTCAGCTCAGAAACGAGATGAGAAGATTCACAAAAACATTACAAGTTCCATCACTCCAAGCCGAATCGAAAATAAGATACTTTATATCGCTACTCTGAACTGTCTATCATTGAGAACACACGAAAAACTTACCGAGCTAGAGTTAGCTCTTTTAAAGATAAACTGGGACATATTAGGATTAAGCGAAATAAGAAGAATAGGCGAAAGCATTGAAGATCATAAAGAGTATATCTTCTATCATAAAGGCGAAATAAAAGGATCCCATGGAGTAGGCTTTATGGTTAAAAAATACTTACAGCCAAATATAGAAGAATTTAAGGGCATATCAGATAGAATAGCCATTCTTTATATAAATCTTCCAGGTTTCAAGGACAATTAATGGTCAATTATACAAATTTATGCACCTACTGAAAATCATGAAGAACATATCAAAGATAAGTTTTACAACCAATTGACTACAGTTTTATAAAATACTTTCAAAAACATCATAGTTATGGGCGATTTCAATGGAAGAATAGGACGCAGACGTCCTGGTGAAGAGAACATCATAGGCGACTTCGGCTTCGGCCCAAGGAGCAAAAATGGAGAACGAATGCTCAATCTCGCTCTCGAAAATAATTTAGCATTCATGAACAGTTTCTTCAAAAAAGTTACGGCGAAGAAGTGGACATGGATATCACCGGACGGACGCCACAAAAATGAAATCGACTACATCGGAACCAACAATAGGAAACCCTTCCAGAACGTTAGTGTATTAAATCAACTCAACTTCAACACCAATCATCGATTAGTAAGAGCCACCATAAAATGTATCGAACCAAAGAAAAGTAGAAATAAATACAACACAAAAACAAAGCTAATGATAGTAAAACAAATCCCTGACAATGAAGTCAAAAACCAGATAGAAGGAAAATATATCAATGAAGTAAATGAAATACTTGGAACTCTAAGTCGCAATCTAACAAGAAACAAATTGGAAAAGAAACTCAAAAGCTAATGGAAGAAAGAAAACAGCTCTTAAAACTTGGAAAAAACAAGCAAAATCTAAAATTGATAATAACAATGGATACCGAACATTAAGAACTACGTAGGCAAACAACAGACAAAAAGAAAAGATATATTGAAAACTGCAACAGACTTCTATAGAAACCTCTATCCACTAGAGACTGATAATACCTCACAGAATTCAGTAAATCTTGAACAAGACGAAGAAGAGGTACCTAAATTTCTCCTTTCAGAAACGGAGCAATCAAAAGCCTAAAAAATGGAAAAGCGCCTGGACCAGATCACATAACTAATGAGATGATCAAAGTATCATCAGCAGCACCAGGGAACCTAAGAAAACTTACTGAACTATTCAACACCATACTAAAAACGGAATACATACCTTCTCAATGGACGAAGAACATAATTACACTGCTCCACAAAAAGGGTGACAGGAACACAATAGAAAACTATAGACCTATAAGCCTTATGTCCAACATGTATAAAGTTTTCTCCAAAATGATCCTGCGAAGAATAACGAAGGTAATGGATGAACAACAACCCATGGAACAAGCTGGATTCAGATCCGGATTCTCAACTGTAGATCATATACATGTTATAAAACAGCTAATACAAAAGTGCAAAGAATACGGAAAAGCACTATACATTGCTTTTGTAGACTACAGTAAAGCATTCGACTCTATAAAGCACGATTCCCTCTGGAGAGCCTTAATACAACAAGGTATACCAAAAAAATACATACGTATAATTAGAAATATATATACAAGTAGCACGGCTTATATCAAACTAGAGACAACGGGTGAAGAATATCCTATAGCCATGGGTGTGAGACAGGGCGATCCTTTGTCCCCAAAACTCTTCTCAGCCATTTTGGAGAGTTTATTTAGAAATTTGGAATGGGATAA